TTGTACTCAAAATATATTGCAAAAATCACAAATTAGGGATATAATAAATAGGTAAAATATAAGCATATCAAATACCCCCAAACTTGAATTATTGCTTGTCCTCAAGCAATCCCAAACATTAAACAGACAAAAACATTTAATTATTTAATTTGGCGGCCTCAGAGATTCAATCACATCATATAACACAAAGATTTCGACTACCTCTAGTATGGACTACCGAACAATGCAAACCATAGCTACTTTTAGCCCCCACGCTTGTGTGTGTGTGCTTCGTTTCTTAGGGACATCACTTTACATTTAACATAGACAACAAAAGCTCTACTGCAAATATGCCATTTTACTTTAACAACAGACTCACATTTCATATCATATTTCAATGCAATGGACCGCCAGACATGCTATGAAGTAGAAGGACTTATCTCACAGACAACCTATTCCCCCTCGTAACCCATTCTTCGGTCCATGCGGCTTTTCTTCAGACTCTTTCCAACTCAGGCCACTACCCAGAGCATTTTTCCACTCCTATACATAGTGGCTCAGCAACTTAGGGCAGTCTACATATCTTTTCCTCACCGGGCCTGAGGACTCTCCGCTCAGGTTGCCAATTCCTCACCTCTCAAGGGGCTAGCATCAACATTGAATGCTCTTCCTTTTCTCCCTCATTAAAATTTACCTAACCTCAGAAGCATCCGCCAACACCCCTCCCCCAAACTTACTTAACACAAAGTGTCAAAGCAATAAGGTTTTTTTAGGCTGATGTTGGGTTAATGCCTTGCTTTTCCTTCACAACATGATGGGTTCCACATACAAATCATATAAGTATGAGTGAATCAAACACAACTTTTCATAGCATATCTACATCAAACTTATGCAACTATATCTCACTTTAGGCTTATCCCACAGTCACGACTAAGTGCAAAAGAAACAGGGTATTCAAAGCAACATACAGAAATACGTAAGTTAAGCAATACAATTCAAAATAGCCTAATTCTTACATGTTATAGATAATCAAACCAACTTCATCATAGGCCTTTTTGGATTTTTCAATATTTTCAATTTTTATGGGTTTAAGAAAGATAAACAGAAAACACAAATATTCCTCTCCCCCACACTTAAAGTATACATTGCCCTCAATGTATAAAACACAAAAGACACACAACCAAGTGTAAAGAAAAGAAAAGACAAAAATAAAAAAATGAAAAGAAACGACACAACCTTGGGAATGTGAAGCGGAGGACCGAAATTGTTGAATAAATTGTTGCAACTGCCATTCAAGCACACGACCAACTTCTTCAGACTTTTGGATGTTTCATTTTCAGCACCAGAGTTCCACCCTTCCAACAAACCTAATTGCAAACTAAAATAAATTAGAAAAACAAACCTAAAAACAGATGATTAAGAAAAACCACGAAAATCCAGAAATCAAAGATCTCCAGATAATCAGGAACAAAAAACTTAACCACCAACTTATTAATGAAAGAAAAAGAAAAATAAAGCAAAAGAAATAATTGGGTTGCCTCCCAATAAGCGCTTCTTTAAAGTCATGAGCCGGACTTTGCGGCTGATCAATCAGGTGGACGCTCAATCAAAGAGTGGGAACCCCTTTGATACATCATTCTTCTTTTGGCTCCAACTGCACCTACATCACTGATACACTTGTCAGGAGGGTCATTAAAATTAGCAATAAACACATCATTTTTATCTGGCTCCTTAACAGAATCTACTCTAAACACATGATGAGGAAATGCAAGGCATTTGTAATTTTCAGAAAAAGTGAACTCTACAGATTCTTCTCCAATATGAAATTTTAAACTCCCCTTTTTAACATCTATAACAGCACCAGCTGTGGCTAGAAATGGTCGACCTAAAATAATTGGCACATTAGCATCTTCTTCCATATCTAACACAACAAAATCAATAGGGATATAAAATTTCTTCACTTTTACCAGCACATTTTCTAAAATCCCTTTCGGATGAGTTATGGATCTATCAGCTAACTGCAAAGTGATGTTAGTTGGTTTCAAATATTTCAACCCAAGCTTTCTACAAACAGATAAAGGCATCAATGAAACACTAGCACCTAAATCACATAAAGCTTTATCAAAGCAAACATCACCCATAGAGATAGGAATAGAGAAACTCCCTGGATCACTCAATTTTGGAGGCAACTTTCTCTGTATGACAGCACTACACTCCTCAGATAATGCTATTGTCTCAAAGTCTTTCACTTTTCTTCGATTGGAGATGATCTCCTTCAAGAACTTTCCATACGCTGGAATCTGAGCTAAAGCATCTGCAAAAGGAATGTTAATATGCAATTGCCTAAAAATTTTCAAAAATTTCTCAAACAACCTATCTTGCTTAGTCATATGGAGTCTCTGCGGAAAAGGCACTGGTGGAACATAAGGTTTAAGCGGTGGTGGCACATATATCTTTTCTTCTTCTTGTTCCACTTTCTCCACTTTTTCTTCATTAATCTGCTTACTCTCTACTGTCTTCTCATCAGTGGTCTCATTCACTTCAGTAGTCTTTGGTTCCTCCTTGTCACCCAACTGCTTCCCACTTCTCAACATGATAGCACTACAATTTTCACGAGAGTTGATTTCAGACTTGCTTGGCAGTTGACCTTGCCCACGAGTATTCATGGCGGAGGCCATTTGACTCACTTGCATCTCCAAGGTTCTATGAGCAGTAGTCAATTGATCTAACCTTGATTCTATTCTGTTAAACCGTTCAGTGTTTTCACTCAACAATTTCTCCATTCTCTCCAAACTTTCCTCCGTAGCTGTCTTAGGCGTGGATTGGTGTGACTTTGCTTGGAAACCAGGAGGGTTTTGAGGTCTTGCATTAAAGTCTTGAGCCCCTTGATTATTCCAAGAAAAGTTTGGATGATTTCGCCACCCAGGATTGTATGTGTTGGAGTAAGGATTGTTCTGCTGTTGAGGCTTGCTGAAATTAGAGACATATTGTGCACTTGCCACTTGCATACATTCAGAGCTCAAATGAGGACCTCCACAGAACTCACAGACAGTGGCATGGAAGACTGCATTAGCATTTACAAGATTACCCATCGCCTTGGTCAGTGCATCTATCTTTGCGTTCATGGCACTTAGTTCATTGACTTCATACATTCCAAAGAGCTTCTTGGAAACACTTCTCGAGTTCGACCATTGATTCCTATTCTTTGCCATAATTTGAAACAAGTCATAGGCATCATCAATTGACTTATCCATTAATGAACCTCCACTGCAGATCCACATTGTTTCTTGCAAAGTCTGTCAATCCTTGATAGAAAGTCCGAACTAGAGTACTTTTCTCAATACCATGATGAGGATATTTTCTTTGCAATTCTTTGAATCTTGTCCATGCAGCATGAAATGTCTCATCATCTTCTTGAATAAACCCAAGAATTTGATTTCTCAATTTCGCTGCCTTATGTGGTGGAAAGAAATTGATCAGAATTCCTTGTAAAGCTCATCCCAAGTTGTGATGGAACCAGGATCGCAAGTATTCAACCAATTCTTCGCTTCTCCCTCAATGAAAAAGGGAAAAGTCTCACCGGATTGCATCGACGTTACACCATTTATCTTAACAGTATCACAGATCTCCAAAAAGTTATCAATATGCGCATTCGGATCCTCATTGTTAAAACCGGAGAATTGATTCTGCTGCACCATCTGGATCAATGCTGGCTTGAGCTCAAAGGTATTCGTAGCAATGGTAGGCCTAGTAATACTTGACCTAGCAACATTCTCCATAGGTGTAAAGTAATCCCTCAGTGTCCGAGTATTTACTCTGTCGCCCATGGTTTCACTCTGATTCTTCTCTTTTCTTAGTTTTGCTTCTTTTCTTTTCGCACGAGCTGTTCTTTCTATCTCTGGATCAAATTGCAAAGTCTCAGAATTAGCACTTCGCATATAAAAACAAAAAATATTTAAAAGAAATCACTAAAATAGTGAGACAATAAAATAAATAAAATAAAAACAAATCTAAACTAATAAAAGAAAGTAATCTAAATTCGATATTAGCTGCCTTCCCCGGCAACGGCGCCAAATTTGACAAGCCGTCGTCACACTAGTCAAATAATAATTACCTACTTAATACAATTACTAGTAGTAAAGCGAAAGGTGGTCGATCCCACAGAGAAGGAATACTAATTACCAGGTATAAATTACTCCTATTATTATCTAGATAAATGATGATCTCAGAGTTATAAAATTTAAAACTAAAATAAATAAATAAAATAAAAGTAAATAATATTAATTCAAATAATCAGACAAAGAAAACCTAGGACATTGGGTTCACCTACCGAATATTTGGGTTAGTTCAATTCATAACTATCTGACTTTTAACTTCCATTAATCTCACAACGATTCACCTAATTAAGAACTATACACTCTCGTGTTATAATTCTCTTACTTAGATTACCCCTATGACTACTCTCGTGACTATAGGAATTAACAAAAGCACATTAAGACCATTAAGAATCAAATATTGCAAAGATTATAATCTTACTCTCGTAGCTTATAACCTAAGTTTATTATTCCTACGAACTAATATTAATCTTCCACTCTCGCTACTTCGATTAATATCTTCAAACATGCAAATAGTGGCCAATTACTTACACGAATTAAAACAAGAATAACAAATATTAATTAATGGAAAAATCAAATAAAAATAAACCAAATAAACCAAATAAATTCGGTGGCTACACCCAAGCCCTAGATTAAAAGAATTTAGCCACTAAACATTATTAAAATTAATTCAATAATATTTAGAGACATAATAAAAATAAATAAATTAAATAATTAAACTTTAAAACCGAATGAAGCCAAAAATCCCGCCAAACTCCCCGCCGGTTGCTCGCTTCACCGCTGCTGCGTGGCTCGCCGGTGATTAATGATGAAGGAAGGTGCTTCGGTGGTGGGTGCGTTCGGTGATGACGAGCTGCAGCAGGAAGACGAGAGGAGCTCTGGTGGGTTTCGGTGGCGTGGAGCTGGATGGAGAAGAAGTGCTGCGTGGAGGATGATGGAGAAGGTGCTGCTGCTGGCTTTCTCGGCGTGAAGAGGCAGAGGTGGTTTGGGGAAGGCTCGGTGAAGGAGAAGGTGGAGCAGCAGTGGTGGTTATGGAAGCTGGTGGTGATGATGGCGGTTGATGGTGAGCTCGGTGAAGGAGGAGGGAGTTCGGTGGTGCTGTGCGAGGGAGGTGTTGCTGCCGGTGAAGGAGGAGCAACGGGTGGTTATGGAAGGTGAGGCTCAGCTGCTTCGGTGGTGCGGCGTGACCAGGAAGGCGGAGAAGATGGTGATGGAGGTGTAGGGTTCGGTGGTTTTCGGTCAAGTTTCGGTTCAGTTCTGTTGTAAAAATAAATCCCTAATCCTCCTTTTATAGGCTTCCGGCTAAACCCTACTCCTTGAAGAACAAGAAAACTTGTTTCCCAATTAATATCGGGATTAAAATTCTTATCCAATTCCAATCCCAAATCGGCCGCATAACCAACATAACCTTCGGCCAATTTTCCAAAAACTTAATTAACCAATCCAAAATTGCATCATTGGCCCTCCAATTCTCTAAATTCATTAATTTCCTCCCCATCAATTGCTTCAATCTTCAATTCTTTCCCATTGAGTTGCTTTTAATTCGATTTTAGCTCAAAACTTCAACAATTCTTCATTTGAGTACAATTCTTTCAATTAAAGATAAAATCACATAAATAGCATATTTGTACTCAAAATATATTGCAAAAATCACAAATTAGGGATATAATAAATAGGTAAAATATAAGCATATCAACTTGGACAAAGAAGGAACAAGGTGGTACATGTGATTTACTATGCTAGTAAAACCCTTAACTCCGCACAAGTCAACTACACCACTACAGAGAAGGAAATGCTAGCAATTGTATTTGCATTTGATAAATTCAGAGCTTATTTGCTAGGAATGAGAGTCATAGTCTATACCGACCATGCAGCCATCAGGTACTTGATCAACAAAAAAGAGTCTAAACCAAGGTTGATTAGATGGGTGTTGTTGTTGTAGGAATTTGATTTGGAGATAAGAGACAGAAAGGGTGCTGAGAATCAAGTAGCAGACCATCTGTCAAGGCTTGAAGAAATTCCAGAAGACACAACTCCAATCTCAGAAAAATTCCTCGATGAGTCACTCCGCGAGTGACAGCACACTCATGAGAGTGACAGGTAATAGGCCTTGGTTTGCAGATTTTGCTAACTTTGTTGTTGCTGGTGTTATTCCCCCAGATCTCACCCCACAACAACGCAAGAGATTCTCGCATGATGCTCAACTCTACCTATGGGATGAACCCTACTTATTCAAAAGATGTGCAGACCAATTGATCAGAAGGTGCATTCCAGAATCTGAATTCACAGAAGTGTTACGCAAATGGCACAGTTCACCCTATGGTGGACATTTCAACGGTCAAAGGACGGCAATCAAGGTTCTACAAGCTGTACTGTACTGGCCAACCCTATTCAGAGATGCAAGAGAGTTTGTCAAAAGCTGTGACCGATGCCAAAGGACAGGAAATATTTCCTGGAAAGATGCCACAACAGAACGTGCTTGAAGTGGAACTGTTCGATGTGTGGGGGATAGACTTCATGGGTCCCTTCGTGTCATCCTTTGGGAACTCCTACATCCTACTGGCAGTGGACTACGTTTCAAGATGGATAGAAGTTGTAGCTGCAAAGAACAATGATGCTAAAACTGTTCTCAGGTTTCTAAGAAAAAATATTTTCGCCAGGTTTGGTACACCCAGGATGATACTCAGTGATGAAGGATCACACTTCTGTAACAAGTCATTTGCAGCCATGGTAAAGAAATATGGAATCAGGCACAAGGTATCAACACTATACCATCCACAATCAAACGGGCTAGCAGAAGTGTCAAACAGGGAAGTGAAAAGAATCTTGGAAAAGGTTGTTAATTCTACCAGGAAGAATTGGTCCTCAAGGTTGGATGAAGTTTTATGGGCATATAGGATAGCATACAAGACTCCCATTGGTATGCCTCCATTCAAACTGGTCTATGGGAAAGCATGCCACTTGCCAGTAGAGTTGGAACATAAAGCTTACTGGGCTATCAAGGAACTGAATCTTGATCCGGGCAAAAGCAAGGAGTTGAGATTGGTTCAGTTGAATGAACTAGAAGAATTCAGACTAGAGGCATACGAATCGTCCAGAGTTTATAAAGAAAAAACTAAGGCTTACCATGATCAACACATTGTCAAGAGGAACTTCCAAGAAGGACAAGAGGTCTTGCTGTACAACTCCAGGCTGAAATTCTTTCCAAGGAAGTTGAAGTCAAGATGGATCGGGCCCTACAAAATCAACAAGGTCCTAACTCATGGAGCAGTGGAGATCATGAACCCACAAAGTGGCAACACCTTTTTGGTAAATGGTCATAGGCTTAAGCCATACCTTGGATGGATAGAAGGGAGTAAAGGACAGAACTATCAAGTTCTGGTCCTGAAGGAACTTTACTGAATTTCTTTTGAAGTCTGGCATGAGACTTAAAACCAATGCGCTTTATGGGAGGCAACCCATACGTTCTGCTTTTGTATGGCTGACAATGTGCTACTCTAATTTTTGCAGGATTGGACAAGAAATTTGCCACCCCAACAGATTTCAAAAGGTGTAACAGAAAGGGCCTCAGGTAAACTCACTCCTAGGAGTGAAGAAGGTCACTCAGCTGAGTGAACCTACGGGAAGGAATCCTACTAATTTTCTAACCCCAACGTCACTCACGCAAGTGGAACAATCCACTCGCCTGAGTGAGAACAACTGTACGACACTTTCTGCAAAAAGTCACCTTTTGGGCTGTAGTTATGATTTAAGTTTGGGGGGGAAATTTTTTCCGGAAAATTTCAAATTTCAATTTTAACCACGTCCGCCTTTTTGAGTCACTTCAGTCAGCCACGATTTCCAAAAACTTTAACTGCTGTGCATTAACTCATAACTCCTTCAACCACCACTTCCCTGTGTGAACATACTAAAAATTTCTCTAAGTTTCCAGGCACATAAGGCAATTTTCAGATTCAATCACAAAACCCCTCTTTCAATTTTGCCAACACAACTCTTAGGGTTTGTCACAGATACCGCTGGCAAGGAGGAAGGCTGCTGCCTGCAAAAACGCCTCCAACACAAGGAGAAGGATATCATCCTCCTCATCCTCGTCCTCTCCTGAACGGCAAAGAACGCCCACTCCACCAGCATCCCCTGCCAGAGAATCCACCCCACCGCCACCTCCACAATCACTAAGGGCGCTGCAAGAACAAGCCCTTAATGCCATCACAGATGAATGGGAGCCTAGGTTGTTTCCAAGGAATAAGGGTTGGGATTTCTTTTTGAAGCACATAAGGCGAAAGTTCATTCCAGAAAGGGGAATCGGTGAAGATGGCGCAGCTTTTGCCTACATCAAGCGCCATGGCTGGGAGACCTTCTCCAAACCACCGGTCAAACCAAGGATCCAGATTGTGCAAGAATTTTACGGCAACTTCCACACTGCCCCCAGAGATGGAGTATTCGTCAGAGGCATCAGCGTCAATTACAGCACAGAGGCCATCAGGGCCATTTGGAAATTACCAAGAATAAGCACTGATTACAGAGAAACCCTGGCTGCCCTGCATCCAAATCAACCGCTGGAACAGGCCATTCTGTCCAGATTGGCAAAAGAGGGCACAAGCTGGGAGATGGATGATCAAGAAAACCCTTTGGGGTTTCCAGCAAATGCGTTGCAAACGCCTGACTTAAATCTGTGGCACCATTTCATCTGTTGCAATCTGATGCCAATATCCTACACAGCTAAGGTCACATACGAGATGGCTCTGCTGCTGTATGCCATTGCCACAGACACACCATTTGATGCAGCCTCAGTCATCCGGGAGCAACTCACCCGATGCATCACTGATCCAAAGGTGAAGAGCTGGTATTTCCCACTTATGGTCACCATGCTATGCAAAAGGGCAGGGGTGACCTTCCTGCACACAGACGCAGAGAGCAACTTGCAGCAACCATTAAGGATGCATAAGTTGGATCAGAAACCCCCTGGTGCCTCATCGACGGGACAAACAACATCCACTCCCACTCCAACTGGACAGATGAGGCAGAGGGATTTCAACAAGCAGACCAGGTTCATCCTGGATTACGTCCACCAATGCCAGACGAGGACGGAGAAATTCCTGCAGGAAATGCACAAGTGCATTGGATGCCCTGAAAACTGCCCAATGCCGCATGATCCGCCAGTCCACCCACTTCACGGAATGCCTCAATGAACACTCAGGGAAGTGCTGTTCTGTTTCCCTTAATCAGCAATTTATTTGTTGCCTGTTTAATGTTTCATGTGTTGTTTTCTGTACTTTTTGTTTTCTGTTTATTGTTGTTGCCGGGTTGGTGTTGTTAAGCATTGGGGGCAATGCTTAGGACAAGTTTGGGGGGAGTAATGCAGTAGTAGTTAGTTGTACTTAGTTTTTGGTTAGGTCGGTCAATGTCAGGACAATGCCATTTAGGTCCATTAGGTTCATGTCTAGATTGACTCTGTAAAATATCTCTCAAAACAGAATGAAAATCTTCTAAGGAGCTGTCAACAGTCTAGGATGATAATGGTTTTGAAAAACAATTTTGTTAAACCACTTTTTGATACTGAATCTGATGCATGAAAGAAGAATGGCTGACACTCACTCACACACATGAATAATGCCACTCGTGGAAGTGACTGCCTAGAACATAAATCTTAAAATTTGGCATGACTAATCCACTGTTGTGAGCTGTGTCTAGTTCTGAGCTACAATTAGATGAGAAATGCCGTAAATCTGAGGCTTCCTTTGTGGTACCCATTCACAGCCTGCTTGCTTTTGTTTTTCTTTTTTTTTTTTTTTTAAAAAAAAAATCTTAGGGAATGGATCAACCGAAACCTTAGGCGTAACAACAAGGAACCACCACAAAAAGTTCCAAACTGTTGGAGTAATAAGGGTTGAGGTATAAGGCAGTGGAGAGATAAGGTTGAATAACACCCCTGTAGGTTGGTCCATTTACATCCCATTCAACAAAAAAAAAAAAAGTTTTTCTAAATAAATAAAGCATAAAGGCTGTGCAGGAACTCCAGGATTGAAGTCTCAGTAGGTAAATCGAGTCAAGTAACTTGGGCAAGACCAGATCACAAGAATGACCACCAAAAGTTTAACCGGTTAACTTAGAATGGATTGGTAGGTTTGGCATGAACAAACACTTGTGGCATATGCATTCTAATTCCCTGTGAAGGTTGGTTGTTTGACTCTGGATTGCAGAAAGATTTGGTATCCTCAAATGTATGTTTTCTTCACTTGAATCTGAGACGGAAAAATTGACAGCACCTATCTGGTTGTGTTTAAGGTTGTTGCTTGTTTAGTGTCACTTACCTGAGTGGGAATCCTCACTCAGGAGAATAAGTCAATCTTCAGTCATTTTGTCTTCCCTAGTTGTTATGTGCAATTCTGAAAGTGCCAACAAAAGTTTAGTGTTTTGCTTGAGGACAAGCAATTCTTCCAGTTTGGGGGAGTTGATAATGGTTAAATTGTTACATAAAAGCATCACACTTAACTTTGTATTTGATGAACAATTGGGGGTATTTCCTAACATGGGTGTAATTTACTTAGCTCATTTTCATGTTATTGTTAGGAAAGGACTGGACTGAATAATTGCTGAAAATTGGAAGCCAAAGGAGTAATTTAAGGACTGCTGAGGCAAGGATGCTGAGCTGGACGAAGAAGAAGGCCCTTAGACAAGAAGCATCTTGTCATTAATGACCTTGCCTCCTCCTAGAGGCATGCTTGTCCCCCAGCCGCAATCCCAGCCACCACTACTGATCAATGAGAGCAAAACGGCTGTTGCTGGAAGAGAGAAAAGAAACGGCCAAGTTAGATTGCAGGCTCAAGACATTGGGAGGATTAAACAACTCCAAGCATGGGGAGGTTCTCATGATGAAGACACCGGCTGCAAGGCCCTATAAGAGAGGGAACTGCACTCTCAATGGAGGAGATCTCGGTCTCGGTTAGCTTCTCGCTTAAAAAAACACTCGAAAAACTCCGGGTAGAAGACAAGAAAGAAGAAGAAGCAGAACAACTCGGTGAGGAAGCGAAGTTGAAGAATAGCAACCCAGCTTTCTTCTTCGGCCCACGAGTGAACCCCTTCACTCCCGGGAGTGACTCGAAACCACAAGCTTTCTCCTCATCTCTTGACTGTTAGCTTGAATTTTGTTTACTATGCATACTTCTATGATGTCTTTCGATGTAGTAGATGTAGCATTAATCTGTATGAGTAGCTAAACAGTTCCCAGGGGTTATTCTCCTCAACTGATGTTGTAGTTGTCAAGCACTGGTTTTGTTCCTTGTTTTATGGTTGAAAGTTTTTCTACATTCATTTACTTGATAACTAAATTGAATGCGTGCTAGAACTAAGGGAGATCTGGAAGGATAAACTTGGTTTGGATTGTTTCAACTTTAACTTATGACATAGAGGTAACAGTCTATGGTTTTAACTAAGATAGGAATATACGTAGTTAACATAAGCATTCTTGAAGGCCTAAGAACTTAATGACTTTGTAGCTGGAATCAATCATTGGAAAATAGGTTGTTAAGGGTGCAAAGATGACTCTAGGAAAAATGGGAACTGACTTAGAGTTATAAGTGAGCTAAATGAACAAGAACTCAACCTTTACTGTGCTAACAAAACAACTACAACAGCAGGAAGAGGAGAAGAACACCCTTGGCCTCCATTCCCCTGAGTGACTGTTTCCATTCTTCTGAGTGACACCTTGTTGACTGACAGTTTTTCTTTACAACAAATTTGGTAATTAGCTGTCCTCGTGGGATCGACCTAGCTTCCATTATCTACAAAACTCTTAATCCAAGCTAGTAATATTTATCTTTTTTTTGGTGAACTCGGCAAGCACCAGATACAAGAATGAACAAGTAAGGTGAAAGTGGATCACCTTGCTTAATACCGCGCGATGCTTGAAAGTACCCCACTGGACTGCCATTAACCAAAACTGAGAACCAGCTATCCCTGAGATTATTCAAAATCAATTTTACAAAGGGCTGAGGGAAACCAAATTTGAGTAAGACTAACTCAAGGAAACACTAAGAAACCCTATCAAAGGCTTTCATCATATCAACTTTAATAACCATATTACTTCCCAACGCTTTGTGATCAATAAATTGGCACAAATCCTGAGCAAGTAAAACATTATCAATGATGTCTCGACCTTCCAAGAACGCCGATTGCTCTTCCGATATCAATCTTGGCAAGATAACTTTGAGCCTTTCAGTAATCACCTTAGTAAAGATCTTGTTCAGGAAATTACAAAGGCTAATGGGACGAAAGTCCGCAAAAGAACAAACCGTTGCCTTCTTAGGAATAAGGGAAATCAGAGTGCTAGTAATAGCTCTCGGAAGCGGAACGCCGAGCATAAATTCTTGGCATGCTTTCCAAAGATCACTTGCTATGATACTTTAATAGCTCCTGTAAAATACTCCACCAAAACCGTCCACCCCCGGCACACTTTCCGCATTTAAATTAAACACCGCCTCCTGCACTTCTTCTAAGGAAATAGGCCGCATCAATTTTTCATGGTCTAATTGATCAAGAACTGTGGGAATATGCTGCAAGAATAAATCATGAAAATCATCATTTTGACTTGCATCCTCGGTTAGGAGTTCCTTAAAAAAATCTACCGCCTCAGCCTCAATTAAAGACGGTTCAGTAAGCATTACACCATCTCTAGACTGAATTTTGTATATTCCTTGCCTCAATCTCCTTTCTTTTAAAGAAACATGGAAGTAAGAAGTATTACCATCGCCATCTTTCAGCCATTTCAACCTTGCTTTTTGCTTCCAAAAATCTTCATGTTCTCTGAGTGTTTGAAGTAGTGAAGCTTTAGCTAGCTGCAAGTTCATTCTATCGTGGACAAAACCAGAACGATCTATAGCCTTCAAGATGTTGAACCTTGGATTCTGCCTCTTTCAAGTTGTTCAAATACATTACCAAAAGTGTGCTTGTTCCACTCCTTCAAGCGTTGCTTCAATCTACGCAATTTGACCAAAAAACCAAGCATTCCAAAGGCATCAATAGGTTGCTCCCAGTTTTCACTAACCACACTAAGGAAATCGTGCCTTCTAAGCCACATATTTTGAAACCGAAACAATCTAGGTTTGCTTTCACCTTGCGCAGCAAACAGATGCAACATAGGGCTATGATCCGAAGTAGTTCGATTTAGGTTTTCAATAGAGGAAACTGGAAATAAATCTTGCCACTCTTCTGAGAATAAAAGCCTGTCAAGTTTTTTACTCACCCACCCCGTTTGGCGAGAGCCACCCCATGTGGACTCCTCACCCACAGCCAGAATCTCAAGCAAACCACATGCATCAATACATTCATTAAAATCACTAATTGCTCCATGATCTTGCACTGAGTTACCAGAGTATTCGGTTGATGAATGAATCACATTAAAATCTCCTCCAATCATCCATGGCACAGCCGGATTGTTCAACCGAAAATTTTCCATGTTTTGCCACAAAGCCAACCTAGCTGTCTTGGTGGATTTTGCATACACAGCCGACAGATAGAAGTGACTAGGAACCACAAATGCGATAGTTCAAAATGCATGACATGACCATGATCTTCTAACAAGGAAACAGTAAACTCTTTCTGACAGAAGAACCAGATTTTATTGGATTAAGAAGCAAAAGCAACTTCAAAATTTAGCTCCCTTCTTATTTCTTCCAGACTATTAACCTGAACCATTGGCTCTAACACAATTAACAAAGTAACATTATACCTTCTGAGTAAGGATCTCAAATGCCTTTGAGACGCTTCATTTTTTATACCTCAAATATTCCAGATTATTTGTCTAATAATTGGAAAATGATTAAAAGAGAATCAGTTCAGACGAGAAGATCGCCGCGGAACAATGTCAAGCAGCAACTTAGCCTTTTCACTTTTTGATTTACGACCTCTTTTCTTAGGAGCAGAAACATTCCCAGCTGTAAGTTCAGGAGATTCAAGATCAAACCTGTCCTCCTCAGACCATCGTTCATCATCACTGTTGACATACTCATCCTCACTGTCCTCAATCAGACTTCGAGAGCCAACACTGCAGTCATCAGAATGCTTATTTATCAACTGTTTGGCCTGCGGAATTAATGCTAAGGCTAGGTTTTCACGCTTTTTGGGAGTTGAATTATTCTCAAGCGATGGCTCCTCAACCAGAATTTGTTCTACATTCTCCTCACTAGAGTCAGATCCATTTGTCACTTCGTCAATGTCCGCAAGAACAGAGAATCGATTCCCTTTAGGAGAAACCTCAACCTGCGGATCAGTTGGCTTAGTCGCAACCTGTTTAGAGACCCAATTTTCCTCTTCCTCAGTTACGCCTTTTGGAGGCGTAGAGTCAGGAATGCCCGTTGGGATCACTGTCTTCTCTTTCGCTGAAAGACCCGAAGTTGATTCCCCAGGGATCGACACTGGTCTTGAATAAAAAACCACCGTATCATTCAGGTTTCTGCAGGGGGCGCGCCTAGGGTTTCCGCAGGGGGGATCCTTCATTTATTGAACCCGCTTCTACTGCCTTAATAATTGATGGATTAGCGTTTTTGATTTCAACCTCAACCTCTTACTTCTCATGAGGTTTCTTCGATCCCAATTTAACTTTTTGCTTGGCCATTTTGATTCCATTCTTCTTTTCATTCAGAGCAGTTACCTTATCCACAACAATTTTTTGTAGAGTTGGCTTTCCAATACGGCAGTCCCTTTCCTTATGCCCAATTTTGCTGCACTTTGAACAATACGTAGGGACATGTTCATACGTGAAAATTTGCTCATGCTTACGTCCTCTATTCCCGATCTTCACTGATTTTGGTAACACTTTCATTAGATCCACTTCAACATAAAACCTTGCCACCGATGGTCTTTTCATGTTCAAAGTGGGCGTATCTACCTTCAAGGGTTGTCCTATAGTTGTAGCCATTGAGAAGATGACCTCCGGGTACATTTATTCAAATGGCAAGTCACAGAGAGAAACCCAAATAGGGACTACTGGCGGATCTTCTTCAAAATGGAAACCCGGAGTCCATTTTAAAATCTGCATTGAGTAGCCCGCAATGTTCCAAAAAATCCGAATCCAACATCTCTGATAGTCCTCTTCCTCCTCAAAGCGGATCAAGACATGCCTTGAATTTATAAGACTTAGATTATAGCCACCATTGAATCCAATCTTCTTGAATTCGTTATGGACTTCCTCCATCTTAGGACGGCCACACGAAATTTTACCCACTAAACTCAATCTGTGGGGCGCAACAAGTTTTTCAAATTCATCATCTTCATATTCCAAAGTTGGCGTTCCATTGATGAACTTGACTGGCTTGATGAGAGAATCTTTATTCGCAACCGATTCAGAAGCTCTATGGAAGAAGCTTGCAAAAGATTTAGGTGGTTTATGGGGGGCCACCGGTGGTTGATCGTCAACCATGGCGGCCAACAGGAAGACGTGGAGTCGCACCTGCTAGGGTTTGCAAGAGAGAATGGCCAAAAAAATTAATATTAATGTTGTTGTAGTGAGAAAATAGCCTTAACTGTAGGTTGTTTTTGTTCTAGTGCTTTGAATTGGTGGAAGCTAGTTTCAAATAGCTATTTGCATCATTGGTATCGTAATTTGGATGATTGGCATGATGAGGAATGCTTTGCGAGAAAGATATGCTGGTACTAACACCTTCGATGAAGCAAAAGTGAAGTTGCTCCAATGTAAGCAGAATGGTAGATCCGTTCAATCTTACTTTGAGGAGTTAGAAGGCGTGTTCCTGAGTTCGGGTGTGGATGAGAACGACTACATGTTGACTGATCGTTTCCACTATGGCTTGGACAAGGGGTATAAACAACACCCAAAGATAAGGAGGCAATCAAGGCTCTATGAGGCATACTACACTGCCTTAGAAGTGGAGAGAGAGCATGATACTTCTTGTGGTTGGAATGGTCCAATTGAGGATCAATGGTTGGTGTTTGGCGCTGAAGATGGTGATCAACGGACATGTATCTTCCGTACTAAGTGTTCGGTTGGGTGGTCCAATGAAGTTGATTTGGTAATCGATGGTGGATCGAGTACTGATTGTATAAGTGAGGAATTTTGCATAGCAAATAGAATCAAGATAGATCCGCATACTAGACCATACAAGCTTCAATGGTTGAGTGAAGAGATGGTTGTGGATGTCACTAAAAAGGCCATGGTATCTTTTCAAGTCAGTGGCTATAGAGATGAAATTTACTTTGATTTAATTCCTATGTCTCTTTGTGATATTTTGCTAGGTAGGCCTTGGCAATCAGATGTAGATGCTGTGCACCATTTTTCGAATATTATCTTTGTCTTTACTAAAGAGGACAGAAAATATGGCTTATGAAGAAGCTGAGTGTGTGCAAGAGAAAAGACGTAAGATAATCTATACACAAGGGAGAGAAAAAGTCGAGAAAGTGACTCAAGAAAGTAAAAAGGGTCACGCTGAGGTAAGCCTTGAGGCGAGAGAAAACCATGAAAATAGCGTGGAAACAGAAAAAGATGCATGCAATGAGAGAAAATTAGAGTTTACTTTGCAGTGAGGGGAATGAGCTATGTGATTCTCCTAGTGAGGGGAATGAGCTAGTCCTTCATTCTAGTTTTGGGATGCCAAGTTTACTTTGTAGGCCAATCAAGGAAGAAAGGATGGATCTTGACTACCTATGTGATAGGGAGTTGGTTCAAGAGAGCTATGATCAAGTTGATGAGAATGTCATTAACTTTGGGGTTCAAACCAAAGGAGATGATTCACTCATAGAAATAAGTGCTCAAAAGTATCAAGGGAGTTTGACTCTAGGTGCTTCATGAAGATCATTGATCAAGCTAGAGAGAAGAATCATTTAGGTTCTTGAATGGATGGCCTATTTGATCAAAGTGTTCAAGATTGAGTCCATTGCTACACAATTGGATAGGGTGCAAACTATCTCAATTGTTTCAATATAGAGAATAGTCCAAAAGAATAGTCCATTCTTTTGGAGTCAATATAGAGAATTCTACATGTTTTGGAGTAAATTGGAGTTATCTACAACTTGAGGGGCACAAGACCAATATTCCACTTTTAGAAGGGCGTTCAAGACATTTTACTTCAATATGTGGAGCTGATTTTCGAGAATTAGAGTCTTATCTAGTCTAGGAGTTAATTTTTTATTTTATCTAGTTAAATAAGTCATGTGGACTGAATTAAACTAGAGTGTTTTGATTAGGAGTCTCAGATTCCTTCTAAGTATTATCCTATTTGTGGATAAGTCATGTAGATAAGGTTTCCTAGATTTTAGATAGAGTCAAAGATATCAAATACTCTTCTAACTCTACTCCTGCGTGAGATAAGATTAGAGAGTCCTAGTTGGTCTTCTTTTTGGTGCTTTGGCCGAAATTGCTAGTCTATAAATAGGGGTGGGGGGAGGGGTATGGCTGAAAGTTAAAGCATCCGTGTGTAGTCATTTTGAGTCTTCTCTAATGAGAGTTTTTCCTGTGAGGAATTTTTCTTAAATGGTGTGTCCATTTTTCGTGTCAAGTATGATTTAACCAAGAGGGTTTTCATCTTGTCATGGATCTTTTGATCTTGCAGAAACCATTCTTTTTCAAGTATGCTTTTTGATAGAATTGTTTTAAAACTAAACGTCTTATTTTCAAACTACTTCTAGTAGTTCGAGAGTTGAGCCTTTCTTTTGGCTATGGTTTTCGAATTCATGATGTGCGTGTTCATGAGTTCCTTTGTGGGGTTTTTCCTACTTTTGTTGATGTGGTAATCGAGCTTTGTGCTACTAACGAGTATTACTATCTTTATTTGTTTCAAGGTTCCTTCTTGTTGCAGAATGGGTTTTGAAAAAATAAATCAAATTCTTGTGAAAATTACGTTTTCAAAATTGATCTTGTCTTTTGTGTGGTTGTGCGAGACTTCTTACACATTTGGTTCATCTTGTGGTGTTATTTTGAGGTCTATGCGAGAGCTTGATGATGGTACATTAAGTGGGCGGTACATATTGAAATTTATCCTTGATTTGCAAGTAGAGAACTATTTCTCCTATGAGCAAGTTAGTGAATCTTATGTGTTGAATCTTAAAGGAGAGAATTGATGCCAAAGAAGAGCTTCTTGCTCGAGATAGCCTTTTCTTTCTAAAGAGATGTCTTTACATGAGGAGAGTTTGAGAGTTTATCTTGTGGTAAATATCTTAGATCCATTAATGTATTATACTTCGGCAATAATACTTCCATTATATATTTACCCAATTCCGGCAATTCACTTGGTCAAACTAGTACCACACTTAATTAATTTAATTTTCTGGTAATTTAATTAATATATGCTAATTTAATTAATGAACCTAATTTATTTATTAAAATTAAAGCATACATTTAATTTTTTTAGATATTAAAAATAACAAACATAATTAATTTAATTTTGTATTTAGTTATTCTACATAACTTAACAAAAATCAGTCGAACGAACAAAAAGACATAAATATCCAGTCTAATCTCCTTTACTAAAGGTAATAATACTGGAGTCCAACTCCCGGACTCCTGCCTATTCGGGGTAATTTGGTCATTTTGGCGATGGGATCGGATTTGTAACTTGATTTTTTTTTTGTGAAGAGGGGGATTGGATTTGTTGATAATTCCGATTTACATCTTTATAATATGCCATCCCCAAAAATTATGATGCTTATACAATGTTAAATTTGTACTCACTCCGTCCCAAGATAATTAGTGCTTTATACGACATCTCTATAGTAATATTTCTTTATTTGATTTCCCTAAAAGATACTATCTCCGTCCCAAAAAAAAGTCCACATTGAGTTTGCAAATTTGTAGTAAAAATAGTACAAAACCCAAAACTCAATGTGGACTATATTTTTTGGGACGGAGGGATTACTACATTTTATACATAATGACGGAGTGACATATATAAAACATAAATATTATTAATATAAATTGAAAATGTGCAATGTTTAATATCAATGTGTATTGTTATTTTAAGTACCTTTAGAATGATTGTCGATATTAGTCCATATTTTACATTTCATCATAATTTATTAGAGATTGTAAATTTCATATTAATGTATTATACTTCGGCAATTTAATACTTTCGTTATATATTTAGCCAATTCCGGTGTATTGTTATTTTAAGTACCTTTAGAATAATTTTCGATATTAGTCCATATTTTACATTTCATCATAATTTATTAGAGATTGTAAATTTCATATTAATGTATTATACTTTGGCAATATAATACTTCCGTTATATATTTAGCCAATTCCGGCCATTCACTTGTTAAAACTAGTACCACACTTAATTAATTTAATTTTTTGGTAATTTAATTAATATTTTCTAATTTAATTAATAAGCTTAATTTATTTATTAAAATTAAGCATACATTTAATTTTTTTAGATATTAAAAATAACAAACATAATTAATTTAATTTTGTATTCGGTTATTCTACATAACTTAACAAAAATCAGTCGAACGAACAAAAAAAGATAAATATCCAGTCCAATCTCCTTGACTAAAGGTAATAATAGTGGAGTCCAAGTCTTGGACTCCTGCCTATTCGGGGTAATTTGATCATTTTGGCGATGGAAGACTGCTCATTTACTTCAATCGATGGAAGACTGCTCATCTCCTTAAATTGATGGAAGAATGCTCATTTACTTCAATAGTTAGCAGTTGGTTGTATCATTTTGAGTTGAAAACCAATATAGAGTTAAAACACATGATGCTCTTATGATTGAAATAGCAGCAAAACAATAATACGTAAGAATATCCAAATAGAGACACCCATGGAAACAATAAATCCTTACTACATTATTCGGCAAATCTCTTAATTATAATTTGTCCCGTGACATCCACACCTAGACACCAAAGCAAAGTATCCATGCTTTTCTATGTAGCCTGCACATTATTTCCTCGCATTCCACATCTGGCCGG